CTTGAATGAAGTAATTGACGGAATTTTTTTGCAAAAAATATGATGAGGCAGCTATGTGCAGGCTTTGACTTCCAAGGGCTCAACACAAAAAGTAATCAGGACAACGTGTCAAAAAAAATTGTGGCAGAAGGTTTTTAGCAGGAAGGAGGTGAGCAGGCTCTTCCGTGACAACTAACCAGAACCTTTTTTACAGAACCTTTTTTACAAGCAAGGATATTCGTTGATCAAAGCAAGGTCAAAAATCAAGCCGCCGAGTCAAGACGTCATTATCTTGGTGCGTACAATTAGGCAAAAAAGTTCAGAATATTGTCATTACCTTGGCTAATATTTTCTCAGACAGGTAGACGAGTTCCCTGCGACAGACTTTCACTTCGGTTGAGTGTTTCTTATCATTTGATTGAGAAAAAACCATTGCCCGTGCCCTTTATCTATGGAGGTGCTTTTGAGAGGAGCCTATTTTTAAGAACGCCATTTAACAGGTAGCAAGACCCTAGTTGAGGAGTTCAATTTGATCGTTTTGTCACAAAAAACTTACGGCTATTTTAGTTCATAAAACTTGAAAACCTAAGAAAACTCAAACTGCTTAAGTTTTAATTTAAGTTCAAAAGCTGAACTTAAATGGGTGAATGAACTGTTCGCCTAAACTTTTTTTTATCCTGAAAATTATCTATGTTTTACACGATTCAATTCACGGAACTAAAGGTTTCACTGTTTGGATTCGCAGCAAATGCAACAAAAATTAAACCAGTTTGAAAAAAAAAACCTGATAAAAAAAACAACATAAACGGGAGTCGAGAAGCTACCACTTTCTTGTCCATGAACATACTATCATCATCAGCTACAATGCCGTGTAAGATTTTTCCAGGCGCAGACGTTTTTTCCAGGCGCACAGATTCTTTTTCCAGCAGAAAATGGCAAAAATTTAAACCATTTTCCGAAAATTCGAAACGCTTTAAAACACTTAAAAAAACCCCATTTTGAGCAATATGGGCGACTCTTTGAGAATAAAACAGGCAAAAAAAAAATTTTTTTAAGGAATTTTTTAAAAAATTTTGCCAGAAAGGGCGGCTGTAGAGAAAAAAATAGAAATACAGATGTTGGTGTCATTTAGGTGGCCGGAGACTGTTGGTTATAAATTAGTGTTTGTTCCGACTTTCTATACGAAAGTAACGGAATAATTGTGCTCGGGGTAGGTTTTTTCTTCACACAAATTTCGACTTTTTAACTGGCCATTTTTGACGGATTTTTTTAATATCATTCAAAAGGTATTGTTGTCCTGGGCTTACATTTTAAAAGATATTTCAGCTGTGATTATTTTTTGTAAAGTTTTTTGGGGTTTTAAAGACTGCCATTTTGGCCAATTTGGGACAATTAACGCGTGATATGTTTCGTGCTATTAACGCATAAGCGGAGATTTAGTCCGTCTTAGAAATCGCTCCAAATTGGTTGAAAGGAGCTTTTTTGCCTGAATTGATTTGTTACTAGAAGCGAAATTTATTGTTTTGTACTTTATATGGCAGTGTGGGGGATGATTTTCATTGAAAAAAATTTCAAATTTTAGAAAATAAAAAATGTTCATTTTATTTTATTTTAATTTGTTTTTTATGTTGTTTATGTTAATACTGCTCCATAAACCTTAAAGGCAGTCGGAATACTTCAGGGCTTCGCCCTGATACGAGCAGTTTTGTTTGTTTTAGAATTTGTTTTAAGGGAAAAATTAAAGTTTCATCTTACCGGCTCCGCATCATTTTGTCAATTACCTGGGGCGAAGAATTAACATATTTTGAAAAATGATTTCACTGTTTTCTGCAACATTGGATCATTTCGCATCTGATTATAAGAAAACTGGAAAGAAAGGTAAGTATATTCCTAAAATTTTTTGTTAGAAAACTTCGTTTCCCACAAGTTTTTATGAGAAAAAAACATTCGCCTATTTTTTTTAAAACCAAAACTTCGCTGTTAAACTCAAGTTTTGCGAAAGTTCCAAAGTGAAATTTATAAATGCAAACAAAGGCCTTGACTACCAAGAAAAAAGCTTCATTCAACAAAGTAGGTCATTCTAGCATGTGGGGGAAATAAGAAAAGCGGAGCATAATATGAAAAACTGGATAGCCTTTATAGATCCTCTACGAATCGCACAATTCACAATTGTTAATGTTGCCACTTCGAAGAGAGCAAAATATTATAAAATGAAGGGGTTTATTATTTTACTCAGACGATTCAAAAATTTTTTTTGCTCTATCGGGGTACCACATCTTCATTGGCCCTGCCCCTGTTACCAATATAGTTTTCTGCCATGAGTCTGTCTAATCTGCTCGTTTTATACTTTAGAATTGGCAATTCATCCCGCACTACACAATCGTTCTAAATTGAATTGAGACAATTGCCTTTTGACTTGTTGTTCGAACTTTCGATACGAAAGTAACGGAATATTTGTGCTCGGGTGGGTTTTTTTTTTTTCTTCAGACAAATTTCGACTTTTTAACTAGCCATTTTTGACGGAATTTTTTTATATCATTCGAAATGTATTGTTGTCCTGAGCTTTAAATTGGAAAAGATGTTTCACTTGTGATCTTTTTTCGTAAAGTTATGGGAATTTAAAGATTGCCATTACTTATTATGACGTGTGGGGGGATGATTTAAAAAAAAAAACTTCAAATTTTAAAACAAAATTTTATTTTGTTTTATTACATTTAATTTTTTTTTTGTTATTGCTTGCTCCATAAAACTTAAAAGGCAGTCGGAACATTCAAGGCTTCGCCTTGATACGAGCCAGTCTTGTTAATTTCATACACGACACAAATTGCAACACCGAATGTCTGATTTTATCAGGCTGAAATTAAAAGATTTAGCAAAACTTAGTACAACAAAAATTTTTCGAGATG